AGGTCACCTGAGAAGAGATTTTCACGGCTGCTCCAAAAGACGACCGTATTGGGTTTCTTTAACAGAAATCAGGACACGTACAGATGGATCTGAAAGGGTCAGACAAGGCTCTTCATACTCGCTACACAATTACCGACGTCAAATCATCATGTAAGACTCAAATCACTTTTCAGACCGGCACTCCTCGCTACCTGCAGTTTATACGTTATGTAGCTGCGTTTTCTTTCTGGACAGATCCTCTCTGCTATGGATTTGCTTCCCTTTACGCTTTCTACTACGTAGCTTTCCGCAGCTGCCCCTATGGCAGCCACAAGTCAATTTACTGAAGAAAACAGTAAACGTATTTTACCCCTTTAGGCCTTTATTTTGATAAAATTGGTCAAGCCCACATAAGGCAATATACACCACAGTCAAAACCACCCCCCTCCCCCCCACAAAATAATAAAATAAATAACACAAATGAATATAGTACGTAATGTAGTGTTTTGTTTTGCAGTATAGAAATTCCACACAATGATTCTGTTTAAAAAGGTAAAAATGATTTATAATACACAGTTATAATGTCATCATGGTGCCCGCATAGAAAACTGACATGCAATCCATGCCTACACTGCGCAGTATAAATAATATGCAACTAAAAATACAAAGAACAGGAACACTACAAATTTATAATTTTTTTTTTTCTTTTTTGTTTTTTAAAAAGAACAGACACACGTAACAAACGCTACCTGCGCTTTCACATTGCCATCACAGTGACGGGGGTTCCATTTTTCAGAGGAATAAACGCTTTTTTTTTCTCCTGAAAGCACAGCGTACATTGTAACCTACGGGATGATGAGGGGGCTTTCCTCTTCCTTCTTGTACAGAGGGGGTTTCCAGGGCGAGTACCATGCTCATTAAGGGACAGATGTCAAGCCTTAATTATTGTTTCTACAGAAATCCAAGCTTTTACAAGCAAGCACAGCCAAGACCTTATTTGTGAGGGAAGTTTAAATGATTCTGCAAGTTATCGGATGCTGCTTTTATGCAAACTCAGAGGGCAGCTCTTTCTTTTCATCCATAAGCGTTCTTGTTGCATGGGTTCGCACCAGCGTTCTCAGGCACACTTGTTAAAAAAATTAATTAAATTTAAAATAAGGTAATAAATCATACGAATAATTAACAATTTCTTAAATTAATTTGCAGCCTCTTTCTGGAAACCTTTTCCCTCTTGGGGGGGGAAAAAAAGGGGGAAAGAAAAAAAAATCCGAGGTTGTCTGTACAGGAAAGGTTTTGCACAGTTAAAGATCGCTGGCAAAGTGTTCACTGACATGCAGAAGCAGTAGTGAGCCGACAGGTTCGGTGCTGCCCGCGGTCAGTCACGCATGCGGCAAGAGAGTGACCTTAACTCGGCCTGTGCAGATTCATTTGAAAGAGAATGCAGAATACTATGTACAATGAAAAGAGCCTCCCCCCGCCCCGACCTGCGCTGCAATGAACAGCAGAAGTTCTGGTTTTCTTTTGAAAATCACAGTATTTTATACACTGAAGGTTTATTCCTATTGTTTCCCCATTGTATTGGCAAATGCAACAGTCTAGCTTGGGAACTTTTTAATATATATATATATATATATATAAAAAAACACATGTTGTAGGGAGGGGGTAGGGTTCACTCAGCAGGTATGTTTGGACAGTAACCCTTTGAGACACCAGACAGCTTCAACATCATTTAACTCAAAAAGTTATAAATACTACTACTTTTTTTTTTGCTAAGTAATCATTTTTCTTTCCGCTGTTCTTTCTGCTCTCCTCCGTCCCTGGACGGGAAGGGTCAGCTGCTCCCAACAGCTCTCACCTTACATACAAAATTTAAAATGAAAACAGTACTAAAATTTTCAAATAAAATCGGATTACTTGTTCTGAAAACACTGGGGATCCGCTCCATGTTTACACTTGACAACTTAATAGACTGTTTTTGCTTTAAGATCAGCCTTATGCATACACACATTACAAAAACATAAATTTTCAGGGGAGAGGGAGAGAAAAATCCCTCTCGAGGTGCAGCTCCTACATGATGCTGTCAGGAAAGCGGCCTCCCGGGAAGCAAAATGCAAGAGCTGTTGGAATAACTGCTCCGGTTCTCAAAGGGTCGGTACTAAAAGCAGCTTTTGCCTGCCCACTACTGGGGCTTACGAGATGAAGCACATCTTGTCATACACAGCCGTCATCTGCTTCCCACGATGACTTCATCTTACTCCTTCCCACTCCCAAAGCACCCTTCACCATTTGCCCCGCACGAAAGGAACAAAACCTGGACTTCTCTCAACTAGATGGTCCCTAATTTTGACAGTTGCATCCAGACGTGTTATTTTTAAATTAAGGCCATTTTAAATGTCTACTTACAAGTCTAATAAACAAGATCTCTTATATACACATGTAGTTTAAAAAAAATTAGAAGGTAGCATTTAGCAACAGCTCCCTGTAAAAGTCTCCAGTGAGGAATCACATCTCCTACTTGGATGCTTCATTCTGAAGTGACTCTGGTTTTAAAAAAATAGATCACAAACAAGAATTTACATGCATGAGAGTCATTTGAACGAGAGCATGATACAGACAGAAATCCCATCAAGGAACTACGTGAACTGCAAGAAGCATATTCAACTCACACTGTACCTGTGGCTGTTTCAAAGCAAAGGACTCCGAGTCACCTGTGCCCAAATTACTCCTGTTCTTTTAGGGTATCCTCCTGTTCGAAGCTACCTTTTTTTTCCCCTCCTTAAATTGAAAAAGCATTAGCAATCTGAAATAAGCAGACACCAGGAGTTAACACGTGCTACTGGGCTTAAATCCTGACAAAAAACATTTTCAACAAAGATGCAGGATAATCATTCAATTGTGTGGGAAGGAACAAAAAAGACACACATAAGCTAACAGATCGAAAGAAAAAACATTTTTAGTGCAAATGGTCAACTAATGGCACAAACGTGAGCAAACACGCACCCAGATTAGAGAGATCCCAACAACGATTCTGCTCAGCAGTGTTTGCGTGAATCTCAGGACGGCGTCCCACCAATTTCTGGAAGCACACAGAAACCTAGTATAACTCATTAAGAGCAGTCTCGCTCCTCTGCGGACCTTCATTCTCGCCTGCTGAAAACAGCAAGGAGAATCTTTCTCGAGGGGAATAGGACAGGGAGAAGTGCTGAGGGTTTTTTGCTTGAAAGTCATGACAGCTGAGAAAGAGCGGACACGTTTTTAGACAGAAAGCAAATCCAGCTGATGCAGACCAAGTTGAAAGAGTGCAGATGTGGAACTACCACGGCAGAGGTGGGGAATCAACAAAGCACAACTCATCTTGAAATGAAAACTAAAATGGCTCTTTTATTGAGGCTGTATTTAACAAAAATAGATGTGGATGTTCAACCCCTACTGCATGGAAGTGCCTTCCTCTAGCAGGTATTCGTTCATCTCACATTCAGGGTGTTAGGCGCAATGTAATTTTTAATTTGTTAATAAGACTCAAAATAATGTTAATTTGTAACTTCTACTGAAGAGAAGGGTCCTGTACTTACACATTCTGTTACTGTGCAGATTATAGTGTAACGAAGACAACGTTTTAACAGTGCCCTTGGCAATTACTATAAGCCTGTCGGGCTCTTGATAAAATCCTTAAATGCGTTTTCCAAATTTGATAAGAATCCCAAGTGCAGAGATCTGGGAGTCACCATCAATTCAGCCATGACATTTAAGTGAAACCACCAATTTGGAGTCAATGGGTGGTCTGGGTTTTTTTTTTTAATCTGCCATTGATAAAGTGTCATTCACCAGTCTGTTATACTGCAGCACAGAATATTAACAAGGACTAACAGAAATAGTCTATTACAAATTTAACAGAATCTCAACCTGTTCGAGGATACAGTACTATTCACTGTGGAGCAAGCTATTTTTTCCCCAGGGTGAAAGAAGGAATGTCTAAGTTCCTGCCACCCTATTTCGACTGTATAAAAGGAAAACATCTAGACTTGCCTTAGGCTTCCTTACTTCTGCTCAACATCTGTTTAAAATTCCAGTTAGTTAAAAATACCTATATATATATAATATATATAATATATTTCTGGAATAAAAACACAAAAAAGATGTACTGTACAAGTATTATGTAGAGTGCTTCAACTGGCTGTATGTAGTTTAGATACTTTCCTAATATCCAAATACTTAAATAAAAAAACCAAAAAGATCATAAATAATGGTAACAGAATAAGTAATGAATAAGAATAAAAAATAAAAAAAGTCATCATGATTTGAGCCAGGCATTGCTATAGAAATGCCCTTCCTGTTGCCCAGGAATCTCTCAAAGTAACATTAGAAATATGCTCTGCAAGTTAGTCTCCTATATTCTTTTAGCTGCTTTAAAATGTTCTGATCCTTCCTCCGCGCTAATCAAGTAATGAATTATAGTACTTTTTTGTGTGCTCAGAAATGCGCTATATATATGTATACATATATATATAAATATATATATTACATATATATTAAAAAAAAAAAAAAAAAGCTTTGAAAATAGTGTTTACAGTCGCCTTTTTTGACTAGCCGGCTACAAAAGACCATTGGGCTGCCGGGCTGCTTTTCCGCTTTGCCAAGTACGCGAGTTTGCTCAGGGCACGAGAAGAGGCAGTGGGTGCAGGACGACAGTCAAGGAAACAAACCTGAAAACAAACATGGCATATCGATAAAGGAAGAAGCGTTTTACTCTACGAAGCAGCTGTCACAAAGCAGAGTCAAAACTGCCGAAGCTCCCCCAGCCCCTCCCAGAGGGTGGCAATGCAGAGATTTGCTTTTGAATCAGTGGGGGGGAGAGAAGGGGGAGGGCATAGTCGGCGCTTCCCCCTCCCCATCTCAAACAGCAGCCAACAATTTGGTACGTTAGAAAGAATCTCTTTACCCTTGACTCTGAACCTTCCTCGCCTGCCCCAAACCACCCCCTTTCTAGTGCAAAGGATAAATTGACAACTTAACGCTGGAGCTTTGGTGGGGGGAAGGGGGGGGCTCTGGAGAGGAAAAGGCTGATGGAAACTCCTTACTCATTAATGGCAATGAGCGGATAAGGGGTGAAATACGGCGCGACAGGGAGTAGGGGTCTGCAGCGCTGCAAGCTTAGAACGACAAGCTTTACTCATTGTACATGTTGTACAGGACAGAGCTGCTGCTCTCGGCAGCTCCTGTTCTGACACGACTGACCCACTGGACTCTCGAGTTCGGCTGGGCTCCAGGAACAAGCGTCGTTCCCACGCTCCTGGTGTCCACGCTTCACAGCCGGTCCATCCTGAACGTGTCCTCTGTGGCGGGGTCAGTGAGGACCATGTCTGGGTCATTCAGCATGTGCAGTCCATCCAAGGTTAAAGGGTCAATTTTGAGTTCATCCAGAGGGAACTGGGAATCCGTATCAAAGCTGACGTCGCCCACTCCTGCCAAAGAGCTGGTCAGTTCTTTTGATAAGCTGGGAGGAGACTCTCCTGTCACTGCAGGGAAGAGGAAGAGAAGGGTGTTGGTAGGACTTAGCAAATACATATTTGCCAGGCAGACGAGTCATAAAACAGCTTGCAAAAATTCCAGAATCACTTATTGAACTAAGGCTGAAGTTCAGACGAGAAACGTCTATCCTCATTTCCAGCTGGATGAATTACAGACTTGTCAGAGCATCTCAAAACCATCATAATGACCTAACACAAAGCAAAATTCATATATGTGTATTTGGGGGCCACAAAGTGGTGTCACTTGAGTCTCTTTTCTCTCTCTTACGTGTAGGAGGAATAACCTTAATTTACATGATCCTAATCAGCATGAGTCCTTGGCTGAAATACAGACTGAACTACAGCTTTCTCAGTGGCCTGTGCAGAAATTGTTTCCAAACGCCCAACTGTGACCAGATTCGCTACCATATGTGACACTAAAAAATCCTTTGATGGGAAGCTCGAACAGAGAAGCAGCGGAAGAAGTTCGGCTTTCACAGCTTCTCCCTCACTGTGGCGGAGGACCCAGTAAATTCAGAGGCAGGGAGTGTCTGTAAGACAATTAGTGCTGCCATTGCAGCTCTACCTGTTTGCTGGAACTAAACAAGAGCCATCAGGCTCCCCAGCACTTGGGAAATACACCACACCAGTAACACCAACATTTACACAAGGTGAAACAAAACCTTCAAAGGCAACTATACCCTTTCCTTTCTTGGCTTCAAGTGAGCCATTGCATGAAGAAGAGAAACACCGACACCGGAGTAGTTTTGCTTGTTGGTTAAGTCTGTGATTTTCTTACCTGTAAGAATGATGTTGGGGATGTTTCCATGGCTGGAGTAATTCAGCTGCTGCGAGTCCTGCAAGCTGCCATGACTGCCAGTAAGTCCCATCATGGCTGCCTGGGAGTAGTTAAGGGTGGAACAAGGGCTGTACAGGCTGTTGGAACTAATGGCGTTTTCTATCATATTAAACTGTTCAAGCTGAAGACCAAGGCACAAAGGAATTATTACTTCTAACCATCAGGAAATACAGCAAAACAACTTACAAAGCTCAAGTATGGGAAGTAACATTGAAAGAGACAGGCAAACAAATTCATCTTTAGGTTTCGTTGATCAAAATATGGTCTATTTTCAGTTAACTTTCCGGAATAGTTTACTGCCAAATTCAGAGTGCAGGGGAATGAAGAGAGGGTGGATGCAAAAATAAAATTGTTGCCTTTGATATCGTAAGAACAAAAGAAAAGGTAGCTTTAAAACAAAGTAAAAGGCCCTCATAATTCATGCTACTAACTCAGGTATCTGCCCATCAAGCATTGCCTCTCAAAAGCCATCTCATTTTTTCCTGCTACCAGAGCATATTTCACAGTTGAATAAATCAATGCGCTGGTTGGCCAAACTAACGAAGGCACAGGCCTGCTTGCTAGGTTTTGGTACCGTGCACGAGTTGTTTGCCAAATTCAGGAGTAAATATTGTTACCACCTACAGGTGAATCCTTCTCAAATGCAACTGTGGCCAGAAGTGGGGGGTTTAAAATCTATTTTTGTTATTTTTAATCCAATAAACTTGGCAGAACACCTTTAAAAACATCTGCTACAATGGCTAAGAGGGACGAAGGGGAAGAGGGGAGGGGGGGGGGGGGAAACACAAACAACAAAAAAAAAAACAGAATAAAAGAAATCCCCAAGTACTGCAAACTAAAAATAACAGAATTAAAACTATATGGACAAAATGTGATCTCACATAAAATAATCAGAAGTTGATCTATATTTATTTTAAGCTGAAAGTGGCCGAAATATAGCTGAAAATCTGAGATGAATTTGCTCACCTGATGGGATAGGGCATTAGCCTGCCTAGCTGTCATCTGCTGATCATAATAGGAGTCACCAAATACACTCCCCAGAATGGAAGAATGCTGAAAACAAAACAGAGTCTTTATGGTGCAAAAATCTCACAAACAGACGTACCCACGGTGTGCGAGTGACTCGAACCTTCCAACTGATTCGTCTCGAAGTTAGTTAGCCCTTTATTATTAACCACCACTAACCATCAGCAAATTCATAAAACATTCAGTATTTCCCTCCAACACACAAATCCTTCCATGTTACGCTGCCTTCTCGTAAGCACAAAAATACAGTCAAGTAAACCAAACAAACTTCCTCACGGAGGACATACAACATATAAAACTTCTGATTTATGAAAACAGACAAGTGTGCTAGGTAACACAAGAAAAAAAAAATCACTCTACAACTTCATCTTTTTTGTGAACTTTTTTTTTGGGTGAAAGACAAACCCCATACAGAAGTAAACTGCACATTAAAACAAAATGGAATGCAAAGCTGATCACCAGCTTGCAGGTAGTGACTAGCTAACAGCCTCTGCAATCTCATGTTCACGGAACAGCCAGCTTCACTGAGACAACAACATGCCAAAACAAAACTGACATTTTAAAGTCATGTCACTTTAGCTGCAGATCAGAAAAGTTAACGAGAAAGCCCGGTAAAGCATGTTATCAGCAGTTCGAAGGCAAGAATCTCAGGAGGAACTCTTCAGCCTTGCTAATTTTACTGTCCCCTCTAGCACGACAAGCATTTATCAGTTATTCTCCATCATTTATCAATTATTCTAAAAGGTGATCAGGAATCTGAGGTCAATGTTTTCAACTATTCAATACTGTCCCAAAGAATTGCCAGATATAAAGAAATCACAGCGAGATCACTTCTTATTTAAACTGTCACAAATTCTGATACTCCAGCTGAAAACCCCCCATATCTGTTGACAAAGAGAGCACCTATAAAAGACAGTGTCTATAAAAGACAATTTGCGTGGAGAGTTTGTATCACTCTTGAAAAAAAAAAAAAATCAATACCTTGCATAGCATTTTCCAGCTGGTTTATCTATACACTAAAAGAGGAAGGCTACAAATTTTCTCCTTAAAAACCTAAGCAGCACATGAAATTAAGCAAAAACCTAGGAAATATCAGAACAGAGTTACACCAGCCACCACAGTTAAAAGCACTGAACACAGCCAAAGATTCTCAGAAAACCACTGGATGTCCACAACAGTGAACACAAAAATTTCAGCAAACATCACATTTTAAACATTCTGCCTCCTACATCAGTAGCATAACTCAGCGCAGCTTATTTGCAGGTTGCATGCAAGGAAAAGAACGGAAGTTTTGTATTTAAAAAAAACCCCAAAACCTAAATTGCCCACAACCTCCATGAGAGGGGACTATCAGGAAAGAATCAACAATATATTCTTTTTAAAGCAAACAAAAACCTTCCCACCTTCAGCCAGAATCCTCGGCTATGACATTATATGGATGCTTTTGGATAAATGTAGCATCAAGGGAGGAATTCACAGCCTGAGAACGAGACTCCGTGGGGGAAGGTGGCTGAAAGTTCAGCACATGCTGTGCGTGCTATAAAATTCCTTGCTGAGCAGATCCTGTATGATCCAAGAACTGCTCCAAGCATCACCGCAAAGCACTTTCCACCAGCTGCATGCGAAGGTGCGGGTACAATTTGAATGCACTTGGAGAAGAGAGAAATTTGCTGCAGAACAGCTCTGCTGGATAACGTCAGAACACTGGAAACACAAACCTTACAGACCTCCACGGTGCTGCATTTTAAAGTATGGTACGGGCAGAGTCAGAAAAGGTAGTAGACAACTGCCTCCAAATCTTTATCAGAGAAGATCTTAACAGTAACTTCTCAGTAAGAAATGGTTTAACTAAATGAAGCCAGCCCATCCTCCAGATTGATTAAATAGAGCCTGAGCCAAGAATAGGGTTTTATGGACAAAAATAAGATTTCAATTCACTTTCCTGGGCATTTATGATCTGTTACAGCAATGACCACAGAACACTAATGACGTCTTTGCAGCGTAACACCCTACTCAATACCCTCCTTAGAAGCAGGAAAAAATGGTTGTAATTGGAACCAGTCTTCCAATTTATCATCTGGTCCTCAAAACTACGGTGGCTGCTGTATCCCTTGCATGAGACAGGGCTACCAGGAAGTTATCGAACATCAAAAGCAAAAGCCACATTATACCTGATAAGAGAAAAAGCAAAACACTACTTAAATAAAAAAACACAGACTTTTCTTTAAACCACTGACATCCTACTTACTGCCCAGTCACACTTTGATCAACTACTCAAACTCCACATTATTCAATCTGCTACACGCCTTATTTTTTTCTTAAAAAAAAGGAGTCAGAGCATAGAGCTAACTCAAGCAAGCAGATCAGGACCAGCCAAGCTTAACTCTATCACAGGGAAATCATTCCCATCTTAAGTGGCAGGCATGGCTTCAAAACTGTGTGATGTTTTATACCAATTTCTAATGAAAAATTTGCGCTTCCGGATGTCACATACTCGACATGAATCAAAGCCAGTTTGGACTGGCCCTAGAAATACAATTGCAATTCAAGAGCTCCAAAGAGAATCAAGGTATTTTTTTCCTTTAACTTCTGACGTCATTTTTACAGGAGCTTTTCAGAAGTAGGGCAAAACCTAAAATCTTTGCTTTCCACTATGCATTGTTCCCATCCTAAAAAGTTTGGGCAACATGAAAAATAATAAACAGGAGACCAAAATCTATTTGTGCAAGTCTACATTAGTAACTCCTAACAAAACATACAAGCCCATATTTATTCCTCAGCTCTGAAGTATACCGGTTACTACATCTGTAAGCACTGAAACTCCCAAAGGAAATCAACTGGAAATGTCATTACTTCAACACTTCAGAGTCCTAGAATAATTTATCGACAACTCTGTGAAAAACATCTTGCTAACACCATCTCCTCCAGAAACACTAGATGAGGTCTGTTTTGTCAACAGTACATCTTCTTGGGTTAATGATGTGGTGACTGCAAGAAAAGAAAAAAGCCCAAACCACAAAACCCCTGGCTTAAATTATTAATCTAAAAATACATACCATATTATCCAGTATACAGCCATTCTACTTTAAAAAGCAGATTTCTATCTAATTGGAACAGTATGCCAGGTGTTAGAGGAGAAAAGCAAAGTAGTAATAAACAAGCCATTGTCAATGAAAAGCCATGCAAACACAAAGCTGAGAACTACAAGCAGAGCTTTTCAATTTGTGTTTGAACAGGAAGACCTTCATATAACAAACACACATCCAAAACAGAAGAGCAAATACATTTGGAGATGTGGGAAGATGAAAAATAACTTCTGGTGAATGAACCGTATGTGATAAAAATCAAACCACAGATTTCTATGTTTAGAGCACGTCACTCATCATACTGATACACTGCAGAACGATTTAACCTAAAATTAATCAGAGAAACGGGAGCAAGTGGAAGACGCCTACCCGGTCACACCCACTTTATTCCACTCTTGTCAGCCAGTGCCAGACTGCTCCACAATGGGCATATTCTGCTGTTGGAACCAATCTGCCTTTACTCTTGGCAGATTACCCTACAGTCTAACGGATCCTGCTATTTGGGAGCAGCCCTCATAATCACAACCAACACAAAGTTTTCTTCCAAACTGTTTTTTCTTCCCCCATTGCTTCTCTCCATGCTTACTATTTGCAGCCTTAAGAGGTCCACCACCACAGATAGCTCGCTCGCCACTACTAGCTTCTGGTTCATTGATGGAGGCAGGAAAGCTGTCTCATTTTTAATTTAGCAAAAATAAAGAATTGTGTGGGTATTTTTAAGAGGCCAATACTAAAGCAAGCAGTATTAATAAACCCTCTTCCTTTCACACAGAGTCATGGTGTCCCACTTGAGAACAGCAAAACCTAAGCAAGAGTTTACAGGATAAAACAGGCCCAGCTGGAAAAATTATAGTCAAGCATGTGCTCCACTGGGGAGTGCTTGCTGCGCTCCAGTACTTTGGACTGACCAGTGGCAACGAGTCTGCGGACAAAACCAAGAAAGAGTTATTGAGAAGTCAAGGGGGAAAGAAAATCAACACAAAAAATCAAAATTGGACGCACCACCCAAATGAGAACTAGACCTGAGAATTTGCAGCAAGACTGGCAACAGCTTTGCTCTACGTGACAGCCTAGAGGAGTAAGTTTGCTTGTTTTCTTTGAGCCACACACAGAACACAGCAGAACTGGCAGAAGCAGGCAGAAGAGAGAGAAGTTAAGAAGCAATTAAGCAAGGGTTAAGAAAATCCAGACAGTCCTGACACTCGGATCTATTACTGAGCTTACCAGTGACCTGTCTCTGGCTAATGGCAAGGAGAGACGAAGCTTCTGCTTTGGAACCATGAAGGGGCAGCACTTATTTAGATACGATCCTCCTTACAGCCTTAAACGTTAAATGATGAAACAGAAAATGTATTTTCAGACTCTATTGTGATGCTCTGTAAGAATTTCCTGCACCTCATTTCTACAGGTGGGATTTAGGAGAAGGGCAGCCATACGCAGCTATTTTAGCAGCATCAGCTTATTTCTGTATGGAAAATGCGCTCACTCCCTTACATTAGGGGCACCCCCAAAGACTGCTTTGCTTTTAACTGTCTTGCTGCTGGCAGATAAAAAATCCCCTTGTCAGGTTTACACACACCCCAATCTATGACTTGCATATAGGACATGTGAATGTACGAGTATATACATACACAGGAAGAAAAACCAGCTAACATGCAAGAAAGCCTGTTTAGTAACCCATTACTTGCAAGCCACAAGATACAGTTGCTAATTTCAAGAGCATTTCCTCCAGTGTTTTCTTTCAAAGTGTATGTTCCCACATAAAAAAAAGGTCCTGATGTAAATGCATTCAGCCACACAAGGGATATTTAGTGCCACAGGAGTTATCCTGCTGCAGAAGGCACTTAAGTTTCCCTCTCTCTCTCTCTCCCCTGCCCTCCCAACCTTATCTGTCAGCTCCTACACAATATTGCTCAGTGAAAGGGGTCTACCTGGAGGTTCTGTCCACGGTACACCCCAAAGAAATAACTGAGTTTTAATAGTGTTCAAATAGTAGCTTTGATCAATAAAAAGGCAATTCACCAGCTATTGAAAAACTCTGGAACTGAATGAAACTGCAAACAAGATGAGACATCAGTAATGCATGAGGCACATACAATTACAGTGAGACAACTATGGGTCAGTAATGGAGAGACTCAACTAAAAACAAACACAAGAAGCAAGGCCTGTGGAAGCACAGAGTCCCTTACTTGAGGGGAGCTGCCAGGAGAGAAGCCTTGATTGGAGACAGGAGAGGTGGGAGACTGGTTGGCTGGGGATCCAGCATTACTGCGGTACTGCTGGAGTGAAGCCTACAGAACAACACAGAATTAAAGACCATGGGATTGATGGAAGGTTGGAAAATTATAAACTTCTGGCGTATATACAGCTCGGGGAAGCTGGGAGAAACCATCCTCTTCAGCAATTCTTGGCTATGTATGAAGACACAATTACTGTGAACAATGCCGCAAAAAGGAGAAAATTAAGATATCAGCATGGCGTGGTCTTGTCTGACTGAACAGCTGAGAGCAGGGCAGGGCTGTCGTACAAGCAAAACTGTTGAAATATTTTTTCCCTGTTCTCAGTTACGCTCAATTAAAAAAAAAAAAAAATCCGGTCAGCCAACGATTTAGGGAAAAGAGCTCTTGAAAGCTGGGAATAACTCAAAAATAACGTAATTTATTCTTCAATTCAACTGCCATACCCACACATTCTTAACCTGTGTTTACACTACTCTGGAAACCCTTCTCGTATTACTCTGCCTAGTCTTAAACAGCCTGGGTGTGTTATCAGGATTGAAGTGTATAACCATGCAGACTGAAACCCTTCTCAAAGCTGCATTTTACCCCATGACACGGAACAGACATTGTCTGAGAATTCACACTACGTTTTGGAGGTTTCTATTAGTTATATTTACATTGTTCTCAGTCATCTTGAGAACTCATTTTCAAAGATTTACCTTTTTTTAGTCATAAAGAACCTTAGATTTGAATAACTTAATAATCTTAACGACATTTAAATAGAATGTTGCTCTAATTAACATAAATAGTAAGTACAGCTCTTCTCATTACACTTCCTTTAGAAATTAACAGATGATTGAGGAAAACCTGCAAGCCAGTAGTTCTATGAAAAGGAGTAATTTAATCAGATAGCTTTGCAGTGTGGGAGAACACTGTACTACCAATGCTTTCTGACACTGAATTCTGTAAATCTCAAGAAAATATGTCTTAACCCCTTCTGCTATGCATTGCTACTTATGCACTTAAGCAGACATCCAAACTACAGCAAAATGAATTTCAATACTGCTTTACAAAAACTGCATAAAAGTTGTCAGTGAGACTGTAACATAGCTCAAACAGCTTTTTGATAAACTAGCTTTAAATTTAAGTTTATGTATAATTTCAGTTGCTTTAAAAGATAAGCTCAGCACCCTAAAAGTTAAGGTCATAAAGAAGTTTAGGATGAAGAAAGCAACACAGAAAGCAAAGAATGAAAATCAGAATCATCTGTACTGGTAGCTACGTATTAGAATCAAAACATTCAGACACATGTTGAGTGGGTCGATATCCTTTCCACTGCTGGATCTGTCCTTCCCTCTTCCCCTTCCAATCCTGAAAGGGAAGCAGCTTCTTTCAAGAAGCACTTAGCAGCACAACTGTTAAAAATTTCATCCACAGATGAAGTCCACAATCAAGTGCTAGATCAATAGAGAATGATTTCTTCTCATTCTCAAACCAATTACTGTCACTACAACACTGCCAGGAGGACACAACAGGTCAGACAACCAAGATCCTACGCAGCAGAGGAGAATGAGCAGAGAACAAGCAGTGAAATTCTTCCCTAGCTAGCCTGTAACCCTGATCTTGCTCTGCATTTTGGATTTTCATATGCAGAGACACACACAACATTTTATAACAGACCATGTTAAAACAAGGAAAAAAAAGAAATCTGTCCATAAATCATTGCTATATGTATGTATACACTCCATTTCTTCTGGGCATCTGAAGGCAGCCACAAATCCAATTTTTGAAGATAATAATGTATGCTCTAAAATTCCTTAAAATGAAAGCATTCTAAATATAAAAAGTATAGAAAATACCTGTTCTCTCCAACTTTTGGAAAATGCTTGTTAGCAGGTTTCTTTATCAAAGTTCTGTTAACTCCTCCAGTCTATAGCAACACTGTATGACATACAACGCGTAGGGGGTGCATTACATTTAACAGCCTGAAAACGTATCAATGCAACGGCAGCCGCAAGGTGTGAAATAAATGCTGATATATTTAAGCTGGTCTAATCAAACATGGAGTCGTAAGGGACACTATTTTATGAAAATATGTCCACCCTAAGTGCACATTAAAACCAAATTTTCCTCTATAAAACATTTAGGATGGTTTTGGTTGAATCCACATTTAAGTCTACTTCAGACTCTGCTTAGAAGTAGACTTATTACAAGGGTTCTCCAGCTTGATCTCTGAAACTACACTGTACGCTACCAGGTTTTTCAAATGAAAGCTCTATCATTTTCAGCTGTGCCTGAGCTTACCGAGTTGATGTCTATTCCCATTGATGGTTGGCTCTGGCTACCCGGAGGTGACTGTGGGATGGAAGAAGGTACCGTGACGGAGAGTGGGGGGAGCTGTGTTCCTCGCTGTAAACCAGAGGTCTGCATTAAAGGAGTATTCTGAGGCAGGGTACTTGCCACCTGGGTCTGCTGCTGTTGCTGGGAAGTTGGCTGGCTAAAAAATGGATATGGGGGAAGCTGCTGCTCCAGAGACAATGCATCCATAGCCACGGCCTTAAAAAGAAGAATCAAAGTCATCCATGCTGGCAGGTAATTTCCCTTCACTTTCAAGCGCATCAAGTTTCACACCAAGAGAATTGTACTAAGTCAATCTTATCTTGCATTTTAAAAATGTTACCTAAAGGTTCAGAAACAGTCAAGAACATGTTTCAAAAGACTTAATATCACCTCCAGTGTGCAATAAACAAATAGTCTAAAAGCCCAGTTGAATGTCCAGGTCAGAAATTGATAACCTATAGTCAGTCACAGAGTCACAATTATGAAATCAATTAAAAAAGCTAATTGAGCTTCCCTCATGAATTAGAGAAACGTCTTTCAAACCTCACAACTAACTTTGGGACAGTACCGTTACAGAAAAGTGTCTTAATAGATGCTTTTTACCACGGTTCTAGAAAGGTGAAAATAAAATCTGTCCCCTCTACAAACCTCTCCCTTTTTAAGGCTTGAATTAATGAACACATTTAAAGAAGAAAATTACAGAACAAGAGAGATGAAGTTACAGCCAGCTTCTCCCTAGGTAGAGTAAAACAATTAATCTGTGATTGAAAAATTTTAGTTCTCCAAGTAAGTCCCTACCTGAGTAATTGGTGACAAAGGGGAAAGCGTAGGAGACATTTGCTGTGACTGTGGTCGTCTTGAGTCTGCACTCAAGGAGAGAGGACTGACGGCTGGCTGACGGTGCTGCTGGGAAGGGGCTGGCGTCGTTGTCATTCCTGCCAGGAAGGAACAAACCAGCTTAAACAGGAACAGAGCAATGGTTTATTGATACTTGTATGGAGGTAATTACCTGAACGATGAAGAATGAATGGCATAAAGGGACAATCACTTAATGCAAAGTGCTGAATGCGCCTTGGCCAATCAGGCTGAAACCCGTTAGCTAATTTGCAATTAATTTTGTCAGGCTGAAGAGCATCAGGATGAGAGGAAGATCCCTGTGGTTTATCCTGGACCAAAACCAGTCACAGTTGTTCAGGTTCATACATAGATACTGACTTGAAACTGAAATAGGCAGAGCAGCTTCAGCGGTTTACAGAAGCCACAGGTATCGTTCTTGCACACCTCGCAGGCTGCACGCACTGAACCCAGGAAAAGCACATTCTGCTCTATTTGTAAGGGCTCAAACTTCAGGAAGAAGATAACAGATCATGTAAAAAGACTAATCGGAGGGCACCTGAGATATTATAAAAGCAAACACCTATTTAATGGAAAATGCAGAAGAAAAACGGGTTACACAGGAAGTACTCCATTTTTAATGGCATACCAGTGCACAGGAAGGCAGGAAATATCCTTCACACTCTAAAGAGCCATGACCTACCAGGGGGTAGGGATAAACAATTCAAGTATTGTAATTTTGTTCAAATTCAAGACAAAAATCTGCAAGTTTTAAAACCTCTCCTATTTTCTGCCTCACCCTAGAGGAACCGAGACACCCTGGAAAGTGATTTCAGGACAATCTAGCTAGTGAGCTGTTCTTCCAGAGCTGCCAGAAAGGAAGAATTCACAAGAGCCTGCGAGCTCCTAGGCACTTGGCAAATGTTCAAGGCTTCCAGGCAGGCTGCCAGGGAGCCAGGAAGTCCGGGCTGCCAAGGAGCCAGCAGGCAAACTGGCTCAAACTGCGCAGATTCTGAAGACTGCCTGGCTTCCCCTGCAATGTTTGCAAAATCAACACCGTCTCACGGAACATGTCAGCGAACTGACAAACTCAAATGCACAAATGTGTAGTCTTAAATTGCTGGCAGTTCTTTGTAACCTGACAGGTGTTTGTTTCCCCACCTTTTCTTGGGGCTACTGAGGGCATGCTTGTGCAATGCACAGAGCTCCTGCAAAAGGTTCAAAAGCCTTTACGTTTTCTGCTAAAGAGCTAGGAGATAAAAAAGAGGCAAGAAAGGTTTGGAAAAATCAGTTTAAAAAGTACCAAACACTGACTATGCCGATGATTAAACTATGGGATAGTCTCCAAAGAGAAGCAGGAAAATCATCAATGAGCATCTTTTAAATTTGTTATGTCTTTGATAGATCAGCACATGTTGTCAAAGCAATTACATACTTAGCGGTTTGGTTTTAAACCGCTTACTTTGCTAATTATGGTTATGGCAAAAAATTTAGCGGCCCAATCTGGCCTAACTCCATGCAAGCAGTTTGTTTCTTTTTATACACACAATAGCTCTCTTTGCACAGACTCACTAAGTTCTACTTCAGTGACAGCCCATCTCCGAAACTTCGTATAGTCTCTTTTGAGACCAGAAAACTTGTTAAAGGATGCTGAAAGCTGCTGGCTGACCCTGTACTCAAATAGTTAAACCGCCTTCTTGCTTCATTCTTAAATATAACTGGTCAGTCATAACACTACATTAACCTGATTAGAATTATTTCCTTTTCCCAATAAATGAGAGGATTTTTAAGTGGGTAAGGGAATCCTGCCTAACACAGGAAATATACTTGTATTTTTGGATACGATGCCTCATTTCTATTCTAACAATCAACTGACTGCAACTGTCCCTGACAATTAAAAAAATGCAATCCTCTTCACAACTATTCGAGTATGACCCAGTGAAATTATTTAAAATATAACAATCACCAATTTAGGCTATTTGCCTATAAAGTTAAATTTAATCTTGAAATTATCAAGTGATCAGTATATTATAAACTGCTAGCATGGCAAATAAAGTTTGTTTGTGGTTTGTTTTTTTAAAATAAAATTATCAGTATTGCCAAAGTCCGAAAACCCCAACAAACACAGCTCAGACTCACCATGCAGAACAGCTCAAACAGCAACAAAAGCTATGACTGCTAGAAAGGCAACAATTTCAACATAAAGGCACCATAGTGAAGGCTGTGAGAAATTAAGGTGTGCACTTGGTATTATTTCCCAAAGCCCCGCTATATTATGTAGCGTGAATATTCAGGATATTTTCAAAACTTAAGCAGTCAACCTTACAAAAACTAGCACACCTTGTAAAGACTCCACATTATTCTTGATTGCTCAAAAGAGAAAATTTGCTTCTGATGAAGCAGGCAATGTCCTCTCTCCAAAAGAATCCTCACACTGAAAAAAACCCCCATTCTAAAGGAACGAAAACAAAAGGCCTACTTAAGATATTTCCATAACACAAGTGCTACTGGGCTTAAGTACAATGAATTACAAGGGAGGCAGCTTTGGATGCTAGTCTCTCCTGCAGTCTTATACATAAACTAAACAAAAAAAAAAGAAAAAAACAAAAGAAAACAAAAAAAAGAAAAAAAGCAGATTTGGGCACCAAGAACATGACAAAAATGAAAGACAATTTGTAAGTCATATAACTAAATACAGCTTTCTCACTTTTTCATACAGAAATGGCTTGATAAAACTTGTTTATAAAGAAATGTCAATCAAGAGTGAAGTGCAATTACCTCTCAGACAAAACAGTAATACTCAGCAATGCAACTTCCATAATTTAAGACAAGTGACATATTGTGGACAGTCTGTAAAAACACCTCAGAGTTATGATCTTACCCTGACTGGCAGTGCTGATGCCCAAGTGAGTCAGATTGGCAGCAAGATTTCCGGTACTATTGGAGCTACTCAGGGCTGGGAATGTGGATTCCTCAGGATCTAACGGTGTTGGGAGAGGGGAAGGGAAATGGATGTTTGTCAGGTCTGGCAGGGAGCCACCTGTGTTATGCGTAGCAGGAATCAGTGTTGTAGTGTTTTCCTGGTCAGCTGATGGAAAGATGCTAAATAAGGGAGAGAGGAAAAAAAAAAAAAAAGAAAACAAAAAAGACACATGTCAGTTTAAATTTCAGCCTGGACAGACCTTTATAAAATCTTTTTTAAAAAGGATCATTTATAGAGGTCACTCATAGAGGTTCTGTCTGGTCTTGTATCTACTACAGTGTTATACCATCTAAGGGCTTTTCAGAAAACTCAAAAGCAAGAGGACATTGAATATGCAACATTCTTTCTTAAAGAGCTCAATGCTCTTTAAAAAAAAAAAAATTGCTCAAAACTTACTTGATTCCTGGAACTTCACATGATTTAGGTCTTGACGACCCAGTCTAAAATAGAAGGAAGACATTTTTAAAGGCAAAGATACCGCTAAAGATTAATGCTTAGCGTATATTTCAATTAGTAAGGTTTATTTGATTTAATACATTTCTACAGAAGAGCTATTCTTCTACACAAGAGCTCTGTGAAGCTCTTAGAAGATATTTGTCACCTTTTTTGCTTTATTGGTCCAACAAGACTCAAATTTAATCAAACATGCATGCACACATACATATAAAGTGCCTTTCTGATCTAATGTTTAGTGATTTGTTGCTAAATACAGCATTTAATCTCTATTCTCTGCAAGCAGTTTGTTTTGGTTGACTGTATTTAGAGCATTAATTTACCTAAATATGTTTAGAAAATAAAAGCTATACACTTTGAAATGTGAGCCTCCTACCTTTTTAGTGTCCCATCCTTGTTTAGAGAGGGTTTTGTCTGCCTCAGAGGTGGTTTCCTCCATTCCAGGGACAGTCAGTAATAAAACTAAAAAATGAGAACAAAAGAAATCATATTGTAATATTAAGCTTCTCAGTAAGACATTCTCAGATTGGAAGTTTAACCATTTGAAACTCTTCAGTAACCTATTATCAATGAATATGAAAGTGGCCCTCTACTATTACGGGATCAAAATTTAAAAAAACAAACACCAGAAGAAACTAAAAGTGTATTTAACTAGCAAGGAGATGTTACCAGCTTAAAAAAAAAACAAACAAAAAAACAACAAAAAAACCCCAATACTTTAAAAAATTTTGGCCTCCAGTTTAGTCTGCTTAGATCTAAATGGAAGAGTGTAGCTTGGGACCTAGTTTTTCCTATCTTTTGCGTTTTGCAAAAAGTGATGTACGCCTGGTACATCTAACAGGTGGCCAACAGGACGATTCCAGTGGGGAAAAATCCAGACCACCTCCCCTGGGATAGAGAAACACTATAAAGCTGTTACTTCTCCATATTCCAAGCACATTTGTTTGTTGAAAGCAATCAACTGTTTCATCATGCTAATAGCAAGGTGACAAAGAAACATCAAAAGAAAGCCCAGTCAGAGAGATGTATCAACAGAAGCCTTTCATGCTGATGACTATAAATCCATATTTACACAATACAGTTTAAGATGATCATTATTTAATGTTTTACAACTCTAGAAGTATATGGAATTGCTGCAGTACAGTGCACATGCATCTGAGTGTTGCATGTTCACCTATCTCTGGGTGGTTGTTTAAGGATTAAATTTCTCTACACAGATTTAAGAGCTTTTACTCTATTTCTTGAACTGACAGCAGGAACAAGAGCCAGCAGAGGGCACCAGAATTGTTAGTGCTGGAGGGCTGTGCTGCTCTAGCTTGTAACTGTTAATGTTACCAGAGAGTATTGCTTGTAAGCATTGCTCTAAGGGTATATTCACTGGTGATCTCAATCCCATAAATAAAAACTAGATGAAGTCTTCCTGCTTTACGATATTGGATCACTGACCATGAAATGCCTGTGATCTCTACACTTGTCCAGAAGTTACTATAAACTGAAAACCTCTAGTACCACTGAGATGAGTCTAATCACCAGAGTCCCACAAGCCCAGATTACTTTTACCCATAGGGCAAGGTCTTAGAATCACAGAATACGGGGTTCAGAAAGATGCTGTATCTTAGCTTTGTGAAATCTTTTCTTTTACCCAGAAGAGTAAATGTGGTCCTTTGTTCCAGTTCCTGTGTAACTGAATCTAGAGAGTGTTATGCATACATGTATTTATGGAAACGGATGAACACCAATACATGCGCATATAATCTGAAGTACAATGCTTTGAATGTTACAAATATTTTCACTGTTTTTCTCTGTTTACCTCTTTTCTGCTGCATGTCCTGCGACCCTCCTGAAAAGGATTCTTGTTGAGCTGGAGTCATAGTACTCTGGTGCAAGGCAGAATCAGAATTTGTCCTGAAAGGAAGGCAAAAAAAATTTCTATTGTCAGTTTCTCTAAATAAAAGAATGCTTCATCTCAGATAAAAGTAACCAACTCAGTAAAACCTGAATACTCTGCATTTAGAAAACGAAATCTATATATATTGCATATACCAGGCACAATTTCCTTGTGAAACAATCAATTCACAGAACGAATTAGTTCAAGTTTGAAGAGCAATTGTTTCAATAACGGGATTGAGAGGAATACAGGATAAATTGGTTGCCGTCGTTAGAAAATAATTTGACATGCTATGTTAAGATTATGCATGATCGAATAATGCAATTTTTAAGTTGAAAGCTGCTTATACATTCTTTAGTTATACTAGTCTTTGAAAAGAAAGCATCCTTGTTTCAGAGGGAGGGAAAATGACTGGTTCAGGACACAAGTATGTTGTGGAGACAGGAACCTCCACGGTCAACACATCTCTCATGATGAGCTGTCCTTCGCTTGGGAACGTAGGCCACCACTTAGGCAACTCGGCACCTCCAACGTCAGGAGCATGAGGGATAGGAACAGGCAACTCAGTGCTCCTTTCCACTCGAATGCTTGGGAGGGCAGACTAGCCAGTTTCTGCACAGTGAGAAATACCCAAGTCTTTTACAACTCAACAATTTTGGGGCATGCCTTGCAACATCTGGCAAGACTTACCTTTAAAAAGAACACATTAGCTGATACACCTTAATTTTAAAAGCAGGTCATCTAAAAGAATTACCATAATAGAAGAAAAAAAAAAATACTAAATTCAGGAAGGCATGGCAATTCAGATGACGAACTGCTGTGGGGAACAATAAAGGCCTTTGTTGCACACAAAAGTGATGTAGTATTAGGGAACGCAGTCCAAATACTAACACATATGCACACAATTGTGCTACTAACCTTCTCCAGCTTGTGTCTGACGGAGGCGACAGATACACAGTGCCATACGGACAGCTGTCCACGTGATTCCATCAGTTAAGGGGAAGAACACCACTTTCCCATTTAAGCAGGAGGCCTATTTGAAATGTTTTCCTAAGGAATAATTCAAATTACCCTGTCAGAACCACTAAGCTCACATGAGAAAGGCAAGCAGAGTCCCTATGGGGAACATACTGACTTTAAAAGGACTCTGAAAACAAAACATTACCTGGATTGTTGTAATGTTTGAGCAACAGGACAACCATCCTCCTTTTCCCTTTCTGAGCATCTAACTCTTCCCTGAGAAGCCATCATATCTCCACTCTCCCACTCACACATCCCCTTTAGCCACACCAAGCCAGTCTGATTGTGGCACATTTTAAGCCAGTCAGAAATAATAAGCTAATTAATTTTCACAAATGGCAAGAAGAAATAGTGCTTGGAAAACGCTAAACTGAAGAATCAACTCGTAATAAAAAGCACAATGAACTACAAAGAATTATTCTGGTTTAGGTTTACTCAGTTCTGAAGGGAAACTCAGTTTCACCAAGACTGCCTTGCCTTTTGCATCAAAGGATCTCAATCCTTCTCAGCTTCATATGTATCATTATCCCCACTTAGAGCTGAGGAAACAAAGGTAAATGCTTACTTTACAGAATAGTAGGTATTTATAGACTAGATCACAGTTCAGAAAAAGCAGATGACATTAACTGAGATGGGAAGCAACTCCGCTGACAGGTGAGGAGGGGAGGAAGAAGGGAACTGTAAAAACTGAGAACTGTGATATTGTTGAAAAGGTAGGTGTTCACTGCCAGCTCACGAACCAAAGGATATTTGTCTTCCATGTTTATCCACAGAGAGAGGGCGTCGATGTGGGGAGCCAAGACGGTTTCTGTCACGATACACTCTGTCCACCAGACCATGATGCCGAGTTGTTCGGCTTGTGTCCAACCCCGATGACTGAAAAGGAGTCTGAGAGAGACACATGAAATTATAAGCAGAAAAATACATGCACGAGCAGTCTGCCCAGAACCTATTCATATTGTATGCAAGGCTGTATTAGTCTAAGGAATGAAACTCAAAAAAGATATGGACAAGTGTAACCATGTAAATTTTTCCTCCAACAACATTTTCACTATAGCCATGGAAAGCAATTACCAAGGCTATCTCTTCCAGATAGAGATCAGACACAAGTGGAGGCAGACCATGCTAGACCTGCCCTCTCACAAATCAGCACTGCTCTCCAACCTTTGTATCTCTAAAATACCACAAGTGAGTGTGGCAGGGAGCCTACTGACAACTGCTGTTTCCATTCCCTCGGTGCAGCATGCAGCATGCATCCAGAAGGAACATGCTGACAACCAGAGCTTAAACTACAAGGGCAGGAGATGCAGGAAGAAGATGCACAGTGAGCCTAACATTCACCAGAACACGCCACGTTCTCTCAAAACTTCCTTTCACCCCTCCTTTCAGCATAATTATTTTAAGGGGACACTGATAGAATTAAAAGAAAAAGAAAAGCAGTTTCCTTCCTCCTCTGTCTAGAAAAAGTTACAACATCCAGTATTTTTTAATTTCCATTTCATTCAGATTGTAAAGTGAACCTAGGTGGGTTGATTCCACCTTGAATCTTATCAGCACCGATATCTTGAGGGTGTTTACTTGTCAGCAAGTTATTTCAGAGACTGAGGACAGCACAGAAAGGACAGGGAAGATGAATTCCCAGGCTAAACTGGAAAACTTCTACATTTTCAAAAGTCCTTCCCAGTGTATACCTGCGGGGGGCAGAGGGAGAGGAGGAAGTACCAAACAGTCAACCTCTACTCATACTTCAACAGCAATATACGGGTCTCTGGAGAAAAAAAAGCTACACAGTCTTCCACTCCTTGCCAATGTGAACAGCTTTGCTGAGTCCCTCAACACCATCTGTTTGGAAATCCAAAATTTCCTCCTCCATTCAGGTGCTGCACGTGGCAAATGCACTGTCCTGTCTGCCAAGCCATGAAACCATCTGGCTTCCACATTTAAAAAAAAAAAAAAAAAAAAAAAAAAAAAAAAAGGTTAAAGTGTCCAGCTTTGGCTGTTTGAATTATTATTTCTAAAAAGTTTTAATTTATTTTTAAATGTTTTGTTTGTAATAACTTTTAAAAGAGTCCTTCTACTATTTTAAACTCTTTTCTGTTCAGCAAATATTAGTCTCCTCTCCCTCTATGCACACACAACCTGTGTTAATATAAATGGATGCAAAGTGGCTGTGATGTTTATTTTCTCATTTCAGGGCCAACACTTTATATGCAGCAGAATATTGCTTAAGTCAACATGGGACTAGCAAGAGAGCACAGTGACTCTTTACTGCACTCTTAGCCATTAAAATCATGGTGTTTTGCTTCAGTTCCTTAGCAAGTACGACTTTCTTGTATGAAAAATTAGAAACCTCAAGTCATAGCATCTCAATTTTAAGTAATTTAAATTAAAACATGTTGGTTTAATCTCTGCTGCAAACACTAAACAACAATCTAGTTCTACCTAACTGGCACCACACAGAACTGGGAATATTTGTAATTCCAAAACAACAACAAAAGGTCTCAAACTCCTCCTTGTACTGTTGTTACATCAATTCTACCCAAAAGGCAGCAAAATTTGCAAATACATGCGTGCTTGGAAGGTCAACAGGAAAAGCAATTTCCTATGCCAGTGGTCTCAACCACAATGTTACTAAAAAAGGAGAAGCCAGTCTGAAGCATACAGAATGCAGACCTTACCTGGAATTTAAAAGGAAGCCAATGCATACGAGTATACAGACAAAAAGTTGAATGCAGAAATAGTTATTTCTTAAGTTTTCTTTTTTTTTTGGCACAACTTCCATATTAAAAACACAACAAAAATCTAATTTGAGTGCAACAGTGGCACAAGTAAACATGGACCATGCCCTGTCACAGGGCTACAATTTATAGAGCAAGGAATTTTGGGGCAATGCTGTTCTCTGGCTTTCCAGAAACAAAGATCCAAAGTGAATCCCTAACCTGCTTAGGGAAATCAGAAAAGATGACAAACACTTGAGAAAATGGGTATCACCTCCCACAGGTCTGGCTTCTCTCAGCAACCATCCCATGAAACTTACTCTGGACCAAACACCAAGCAACATGCCTTCATTAAAATCCCCATCCCTGCAGGGCACGTGATACTTAACCATAAAAAACAACTGTGATTAAGGAAAAAAAAAAAAAAAAAAACTGATCTGAGCATCAATTTTATTTGGAAAATGAAGAACTAGAACTGTTTTACTTCCTTGAAAAACATTCAAGGATTTGAGATCAGAACCAAAACTCCACAAAACATTTTAAAAAAAAAAAAAGGCAGCTAAATACAGACAGGAAGGAAAAAGCTCGGTGCTCTAAAGCAACAGTGTCCCTTTAAGATTTATCAAGACATTGACTTAAGAAATAAAAGCGAGCAAGGTGGATGAGGGGGAAAGACAGGAGCAGTACCTACTGACAGCTTACATTTCAGTGCCTCCTGGTGACAAGCAGCATTTGGGTAATCATTCTGCCCTTCCCGATGGGAGTTTAACATGCAGGCTAAGTGCACATGCTCAGAGATTGCTTAAATCACAGGCCAAGACAGTGCCAAATAAACCACCGTCTGCATCAAATTAATCCCCCATAAATCATAAGTAATCACACGACAGACCATAGCAAGTCCAGGGAGTCTGTACAGGAATTATTATGCATGTTCCAAACTGGGATGCATGGCAAAACCTGTATTTATGTGACAGACCATAACTCCTTTGGAGCTGGGACGGTGAATCAAATAAATACTGTGCATACCAGAAAAAGTGTAACATGTGCTAAAATACGTATCTACCTGGGCAAACAGTACACCAGTCCTAAATACGTATTTGCACAAACCTAAATACTTGTTTACCAAAGAGACAGGAACTGCTCCAAAGGCTTCTGCCAGAGCTCCGTTGTGCTGTAAATGCAAAGAACCAAGATTCTCAGACACTAACGCTCTCACCAGAGACAACCAGACAGGCTTCACCTGATTGGCACATCATACAAGTATCTTTTGGCAATTTCATCATATTTTAGCTTAAAATTGAAAAACCTGGAAAGCATTCATCATTGATACAAATATATGGTTTTATTTTGTTGCTCGTCACCATATTGTTACCTGTAAAAGTATCAACTTTGGGTGCGGAGGTGTGTGTGTGAAAAAATATATAAAAACCTGGAGTTTAAGAACAATTTGTTTCTGTATCCTCCTTCAGTCATTCATAAATTTTACAATATTCACTTTCAAGCCCTCTGTTAATTTCAGGACTAGAAGAGTCTTATGTAATAACCATCAGTAATGGCCATCAAGCACAAAAATACTGAAATACTATTGCTTACAAAGAACAGTAACTATGAACCTCCTTAACAAGAAAGTAAAGACAAAAATCTTGAAGAGGCCAGATGCTTGTGGAGTGATACTAAGGACTTCGTAACGTTACAAACCTCTGCACTGTATTCCCTAAAGGCAACTAGATTAAAATAGACATTTGCTTCTCCTCTTGCACAAGATTCAAGCTTTCAACCTCCACAAATTCAGCTGTCTACATCTATTTCAAAAGGCATAGTTAGAGGACGTCATCAATAGTTTCTCCATATTTATTAAGTCAGCCTTCATCAGAAAACCACAAACTGCAAAATTTAATTCTTACCACATCCTTGTGAGATGAAAATGTAAATGGTTTTCCTTTTTTCAGTAGTAACAACGCAGAAATTTTAATTATTTTGAGCACCCTAAATCAACTAACTATAGAAATCAGGAGTCCCAAAAGTATCCATCACCTAATCCTATCCACTGTACAGTATCTTTTGACCAAACATGCTTACTAACAGCAAAATATTCATATAAACACTGATCTTCTGTTTATAGTGCATTACCTCTGGAGTCACAACAGCAGGGGAAAAAAAAAAAAAAACCAAAAAGTACATCCCTACATCTACTTTTCAGCCAGCCCAAAGAAAAGTGACTATTCTGATCCTGGTTTGTGTTCCATTCCCCCTTCTCCTCTCCTAAAATCCATGCATTACGCCTGTGGAACATGCATACCACCATGGGGTACCTTCTTCCACACCCCCATCTCCCAGCACTTTCCACATCCCCTTGCCTTATTTGCTTCCACTTTTGCTTTGAGTCTACAGTATCTTAGCAGAAGATTTCATTATGAATTTGGTACTGAAAACAAACAAACAAACAAAAAAACCCCAAAACACCCACCACCCACCACCATGTACATTCACTGACAAAGAAACTGCATCGCCTCTGCATATTCTTGACACAAAACAACCAGGGACAGGAGAACTAATATCTAACACTAGATATATACAATACAAAAGTATCCATACATCCCATACACAACTATACTCCACTCCAAAAGAGCAAACATTTTTAAAACAGGGTGATCTGCTGAGGCCACAGTGCTATGTTCTGAACCAGCAGCTAGTTCATGGTCTCCTGTGAGTTAAAAATAGCATCTGGGCACAGCATTAGTCAGGAAAAAAAAAAAAAAAAAAAAAAGAAAAACCCTATTAAACTCACCTGGAAGGGGAGATCCATGGCACTGTTTCCAATCTGATTCACATTTGGCAGTGACCCGCCGTAGTACTGGCCACGACTCTGTCCCAGTTGCAAATATTGGGTTTTCTGCAGCTGTAACTAAAAGAAGAGGAGGAGGAAAATGTAAGGGCAACTCATTTATTTTTCAACTGTTTTAACCGACTCAACTTGACACCATGTCTGTTATCACTGAGAATGGACACCATCTATAAACAGCATGAATTCGACTTCTGCGAGTGAATGTCAACCTTCTCCACAAAGCACAGTTGGCCAACTGCCATGTTAGGTCTTGTGTGATAGTGTAAGGTGAGGGAAAAAAAAAATCAACTTCATAGTCACTGATCGTATTCAATTTCCAACAAATTACCACCACGTGAAACCACATGGTTCTTATGTCACCTGCTATTCTGAAAACCGTGACGTAAAAAACCCATGTCAGTCTGATCATGACTCTAGTATCAAAATTAACCAGCTGTTCATGTGTGTGAAATACAAATAAGAAAGTCATCTTAATTTAGTATATTGAGGATACTGTTTAACCAAACATTCAACCTTTTAGCAATCTAGGTAACAGAGATGCTATAGCAAGTTGTAGCTTTCCACCACTAAATAAGTAGTGTAGTTTCTTGCACCAGGAAAAGCCCTGTAGAAAGGGCAGAGACAGAGGTTTTTAAAGAAAACCCAACCAAAGAAAAAGACCAGCAAAGAATTCCTTCCTGAACAGGTAAACATGAAAATAAATGCGACAGTCTGCAAAGTTTCAGTAAATACGAGATAACACTCTTCAGTTCTGAATGACACCTCTCTACTAAAATATTCTAGTATGTTTTCCCATAGCTGTATACATTTCTGGTGTACAAAACAGTGTGTAGGAGAAAGTTTCTTTTCTACTCAAACGTCAACTTATTTTCATTGTCACTTCTGTCAGAAGACTATACTGTCTCAACAGCTAATTAGTAAGAGCTACCTTTCTCAATTTTTTAGTTTAGTAGTACCAATATTAAAAATAATTTCTCATTCAATTCTGTAATGTTCCTACTCAACACCTCTAGATTTAATACCACGCTGCCACTGAAGCCCTATTTTACACTGATAAAGCAGAATTTGCAATCACCTGAACACAACAATCCTGCTCCCAGGGATGCATCTTCCAACGACTCAAGAAACTACAACTAAGGCAGCAAAGAAATGAGCTTACATAAGTAGCATCCCCTCCCACTGTGGAGGAGTACATATTTTATAATGTATGTTGTTCCTCACTAGATTTCAAGTGGCTGTTTTTGCACACTGAAATGCAAGAACATTCCTAGATTGGTAGCAAAGAATTGTTTAAAGACTAAATGTTCAGATCTTGGACTACATGCAGGTTGGTTGCTAAGGTACTGTTGTGTGTACATAACAAATCTGGTTTAGTTTCATTCAAATAGATCCGAAAGCCTTCGCCTTGCAATGCCACAGTTTTGCAGAGCAAAGTTTGGAAAAGTACTAGAAAAAGCAGCATCCCCAAAACTGGATGTTTACACAGGTTTTTTTCTTTACACTTCCTTCAAGCAAAGGAAATGGCAGGATGGAAAGGAGTGGCCCTGCCTTTACAACTTTACCACAAAGGCCCTGAGGTTGAGCAAAGATGTTTCTAGTAAAGCAAAGGAAGAGCTAGCACGTGCCGTGTTGACAATGCGACCTATGCAGAGTCCTCTGATAAAACAGTAATAACCGGAGCAGGGATGCTGAGCGGTGTTGACAGTGAAGATACCACACTGCACACTGATAGCACCAAGATAGGACAGAGAGAAAAGGGACCAGTTTGCTTATATCACGCCGACACTTAGGGGTATATGTATTAAAATAGTCCCTGAATAGAGGCGGAGAAAACAAGATCACCCCAAGGAAAACAGTGCATGTATTCTTCCGACTTTAAAATTATCCCTAGGAAAGTAACTCAAATACCATTTATTCACAGAATCTCCCCTAGAAGCCACCAATTTCCAAATACATAGACAGCCAAAATTGTTATGCTTTAGCTGAGGGACCGAATTAATCCAAAACTTACAAGACGGCTCTTAGACATGAAACCTCTCTATGGAACAGGCACTCTCAAAAGCCTCAACTACTCAGGCAGGATACCAGTCACAAAGTGGCTGATGGTTTTTTTTTTTCTTAACAAAAGGGAAGATAAATCCCCTCAGCCCAAAGATTTATAAAATATTCAGTGTGCCCTATCAAATCATTCAAAAAGATCCCATCTAAAAAGCAGGAAAGCCCCCCCCCCTCCCCACTTTTCTTTTGACACGCAATTACAATCCAGTGCTCTCTAAGCAATACATGAAATTAGAGAAATGCTCTGCACTGGTATCACTTAATGAGTCACAGCCCCTCTAACTCATAGCTGCAGATCACTAAAAGCACAATATCAGAACTAGCTGTGCTTTTTGCCTGGCCCGTACATATGTTTTTGTTGTTAAAAAAAGGCTTGCTTGGGATTTGTGCCAAACATTGAAGTAACTATTTCAACAGGTGTGGGTTTCTTTTAAAGAACCTACTATAAGGCACCCAGGGAGGGGGGTGTTGCTTTATGATTTTTAATGTTTTGGCTTTCCCCAGTATATACCTACCTCAAAGCATAATGTAACAGGGAGGTCATGACCATTTGTCTTTCCACTGCAGTTAAACTTGGAAATGAGGAAACACAAGAGGTAGAGAACTCAAGCAGTTCTCAAAAATGAGCTTGTTAAATGGCTTTGCTGTAACATTAATTTTAGTAACACTACCTTCAATAAACACGTTTGGAGATCTGTGCCAAAAATAAGAAAACTGATTGCTTGTTATTGCTATCATATATCATTACACCAGCGTGTAGATCTGTATTTGTTCCTCTCTTCAGCCTCCTGCCTTTTAACAGCGAGTGGCCCCCAGACTACACGGTTTATTGGAGACTATCAACAACTGCCACTTGCAATCTATGAAGATCAAGTGCAAGCAGAGCAGACCGGTTTGCTGAGCACCTCACATCTCCAGCTTTTTAGCTCCTAAGAAATCATTTTTAAATACTGTGACGTTAGACCATACTGTCACGCCAACAGGAGATCTCAAGCAAAATCAGTTCAAGTTTTTCAAAGCAGAGGACCAGCAAAAACCCTGCAAATTTCACTGTTACACTTTGAGATAACTCTGGAATCTTGAGTCTTACTAAGGGGACCTGCGCATAAAGAAAAGTAGCACTAAAAATGAAAACAGACATCGCTTGCAACTAAAACGAACACTTCCTCGTTTTTCTGTACAACTACCTTGTGAGGTGAATTAAGTATATTGCACAATTTGGGGTTTGGGGATTAGGTTTGAAGGCGGGATTGTGGGGTTTTATTTTAAAAGGAAAAAAAAAGCCTTTTCTTAATAGAAAAATTCAGATTACTCTTAAAATGTTAACAAGTCTCATGACAACTCTAGCTTTATCTCGTGGGGTTAGATTCAATTAGTGGCAACTTGCTTTCTATATGAATTTAGATACTGACGTACAATAATGAATTACTTAGCGTTCACCAGATATATTAATTTCTTGAACCACGAGAACTTAGTTACTCTACATTACAGCTTTTCCAGTTATGTATTATGTGGCCAAGATAATAGCTCCTTGACAGTTGAAAATATTGCTAAATATTCCAGTTCTTTCCTGAGAAAGCTTTTGGTAAGGAAAAAGCTTTTGCTTGTTAAACCATTTTATTTCTGCTTGGCATTCTTGTTCAGAAGAAATGTTTCCCAAACGACAGATCCTAACTGAATCTGTAGTATTCCCTCCACCAGTATTTCTCTTATGTTACTCAAAGAAAAAAATGAAGACTTTAAGTTAAAATCCAATCTAATCGTTAAAAATCAAATACTTCTGCATAAGCAGAATAGCTGAAAATGCTCCCCAAATAAAAGGTTGACACACCGTTGATTCACCAGATTTTAAGTTATATTAAAACTAGTAAATTTCTGCAAAGGTGCAAGAGTAACAATCTGCAAGGCAGTAGCAGCATTTTTACAGCAAACAGGAAAGGAATCGTTACCTTTCCCTGTAGTAATTAGGAATTTGCAAGCAATTACATTCTTAATTCAGCTAACAGTCAAGTAATGTGACATGATCTTACTCTGGTTAATGGAACTGGACACACACAACTCTGGTAAGAAATCAAAAATATTAGATTTAACACAATTACTGACTTGCTATCAATGGAACATTCTTCCAGATACTAGCTTTTATGTGAACCCATTTATAGGCACTACCTCAATTTTTCCATTTAGATTGGGTTAAAGTTTGCTGGATATACAGCTGTGTTTGTACGCAGAGATGCAAGTTATACAATAAAAAAAAAGAAGAGGGAAACATATCCCTAAAAGCATATCCAGTTTTCCTACGGACTTTCTAAGTGTCCAAAATATGCAGATGCGAATCAAAGGAAGCATTTATTAAAATTCAACACTTCAACTTCTCTAAATTCTTCCCCCCAAAACTCTGGGCAAATTACAAACTTACGGACAGAACTTAACTGTAATCAAAGGGCAAATCAGACACTGAAATTGAGTCAATCAAAATCCACTATAACCATTTATTTTAAAATGCCCTTTTTCATACATAAAAATTTGATTCCCATAACTGTAATAAAAGGGTGGAGTGTCCGTTTGATAAAAAAAAAAAACCTAAGATATCTGATGAATACAGGAAGTAAGATTTCATGATAACTGTTCCTTCTGCTGGCTTGCAGTTTCCACACCAAGCTTTCTTATAAATTTTAGCCTTTCACTTTAGAAAGCTTTCTCTTTAGCATGTTGAGGCTAATGAGCAGCAAAATGAGTACAGATTAAAATTAGAAATGTATTATTGAAGCTTAATTGGAAATTAAATTATGTTTAAAGGATTATCTAGAAGTTTTAGAGACTGCATTATAGGTAAATCCTGTTGTTCAAATCAGTTTGAAGTTTCCCAGTTGGATACATCTGAAATTTCTCAGGAAGGCTTTCTCCTAAAGCAACCAGAGACAGGACCTGCCACAGAAAAGAATATACAGTTGCCTGGAGTTTTTAAACTGTCTGGGATTGATTTGGCATCCTCAATAATATGT